CACCATTATGTACTGCTACTATACATATATAATTCAGCATATAATAGTGAAGTGCGTTTGGAATAGCCACACCCCGGATGTGTCCAACACCTACGTCCAACTTGAACGTGATGACGCCGTAAGTTTAATGCTCCCGCAGGGCAACTGTGGTAGCATCATTAACAGCAGTGGAGGACGAAGCTGATGAATGAGATGAAGGGCTGAGGGAGACGATGAGAGGATGAATTGGCCAATGGAGCATCAGTATCATATTTTTATAGCGTTTGAATCCGAGTTTAGGCCACATTTGAACTGAGAAATACGTCGAGAAGCTAACAACGAATGGATAACGTTAAAGCTAGCTTATGTGCCGAGCTGAGCAACTGTTAATAATCTTTGGAGGAGGTGATGTTAAAGTGTGGAGTGTGAACCAGATATTTCCTGTATTTTCACCAGAAACAGTGCATATGAAGCTCTTTCTAGAAAGAAGATGCCTGGCACCACCAAGCAGCATTAAAGGTCTGTGGAGCTGTAAAACTCGGCAATATTAGTCTCTCTTGGCTGGAAGAATTTAATGGCACAGCGGACAACAAGAAAGAGCCAGCGACTGAAACGGGGATTTAGGAACAGTATGTTTTTTGAGATGAATGTTCAGAGTTTTTCAGCTGAGAATAATTAACTTCACATTTACTAATTTATCCGGTCGGATTTCACAGCTCACATCAGTAACAGTCAACGGACAGCAAGCTAACATGAATGGATAACGTTAAAGCTAGCTTATGTGCCGATATAACGCTGTATGCTCTATTTAGCGACAGACAGCTCGATAATATTTTTCTTTCGACAGTTTTACTTTGTACATAAAAAGGCAACTTTATCAATTCGGATTTACGTTGTCAAGAAATCACGCAGCCTTTCCCGTCAGTCAGAGTTTTGATTTGTTAATCCTTGTTTGGGCATAACTAAAGAGTTTTGTTTAGCTAGCTAACGGTAGCAACTAATCCAACTGCGAGTGCAGTGTTATAAGTCATCATGTATGCACAGACACGTTTACTTGGATGAAACCCACCAACGCCCCCACCGAAATGTACCCAAGGGCACAACAACATTAAGTCATGTCGGACTGACAACAGCACCGTGGCTCCGCCGGTCACAACAACAAGCAGAGCAGAGAGGGCATCAAAAAGCTGCAGCTAGCCTCCAGGAGACCAACACCAGGTTCATTTTCGACTCAGCCACCAAATCCTGCAAAAATGGGGTATGTAACTTGCAGTACAGTGAAATGTCAGGCTGTAATTCTCACTCATCATGTCAGGGTTTGACTGACTGTGTGTTTGTGTTGATTTGAACAGTACTCCAAACCTAGCCACCCACTGCTAACTGTATGAAGCGCGCTTGTCAGCTCTGTAGTGCATGAAAATAATGCCCCAGGTACCAGTGGTGGAGGAAGTACTCAGATTCAGTACTTAAGTTAGAGTAGTAATACCATATTGTAAAAATACTCTATTACAAATAAAAATCTTGTATACAAAATGTTGCTTAAATAAAAGTGCAGAAGTATTAGCATCCAAATATACTTAAAGTACCAAAAGTATAAGTGAAAGTGCTGAAAGGTACATCTCACATAAATGTATGTTATATTATTGGATTGTAGCCTAATTATTGATGCATTATTGTCTTCATCACTTTAATGTTGCAGCTGAAGGTGAAGTACTTTGCATACTGCTGGGTAGCTTGTGAATTTGCCACTGAGAATAAAGTCCTATGATTATATTGTAGTTTGTTTCATTAACCTGAGTCTGAAAAGTAACTAAAGGTATCAAATACATGTAGTGCAGTAAAAAGTATATTTGCCTCTAAAATGTAGTGAAGTCTTACTATGAGGTACCAAAACATGAAAATACTCAAGTAAAGTACGGATACCTCAAAATTGTACTCAAGTACATTTCTTGAATGAATGTATGTAGTTACATTCACTGGTAAATGGATGACAGTGAGCAGATCTAGTATTACAGCTCAGATGGGACAGAGCAGTGCATATTTTATGGAGTGTGATTAAAACAATGTCTGGAGAGTTAGTTGTTGTATAAAGAACTAAAACTATTAGTCCATTAATCAGTTATCAGACCATCTGCAGGTAGTTTGATAATCATTTAAATTTTTAAGGAAACTTTGGGGGAAAAGCAAGATATTTGCAAATTCCACTTCTCAAAAGAGAACATTTGATGCTCCTCTTTGTAATTTTTCATTGTAACCTGAGTATTTGGAGGTTTTATGACTCTTCCACAAGAAACCTTAAAAAGTGACACCAAATCCACTGTAACTTGCACAGAACTAAAGCTAGTCACCCGCTGTGACTGTGTGAAGTACTCCTGTCACCTTGGTAGAGCAATGACGATGCTAAAATAATTCCTAGCCATACTGAACTGCAAACCGCAGATAGAACACTATACTGCTGTTGGTAGGTAGGTAGGTAGGTACTTTATTGATCCTACCTAGCAGTATCAGTATGTTACTGACAGCCTCCATACAGTGATATTTTACATTACAGAAGCCAAAAGATAAGGCTGTAATTGAACTGACGACAGAGAGCAGGTCAAGTATCAGAGCTCAGATGGGACAAGGAAATAACACATATCCATTACTGTTTTTTGCTGTTGGTAGGTACCGGGGTCTGTCGGAGGTTTCTTCCGTTAAAGGGAGTTTTTCCTCCCCACTGTCGCCAAGTGCTTGCTCAAGGGGGATTTGTTGGGTTTTCCCTATGTAATAATATTGATAACAGTAAGGTCTAGACCTTACTTTGTAAAGTGTCCTGAGATGACTTTTGTTGTGATTTGGCGCTATACAAATAAAATTTGATTTGATTTGATTTCTGACTACCCCAGAAGAAAATACAGTTAAATAAAGAGAGTTTCAGAATTATTTTGTGCTGCCAAAGAGCGAGAGACCACTTTGGCAGCACTGTAGGCGCTATACATTAGAGACTGTAGCAGTGAGGAAAAGACAAGAGGCAGAGATGGAGGTAGCAGAGATGAGGATGTTGAGGTTCTCTTTAGGAGTGACCAGGACGGACAGGATTAGGAATGAGCACATCAGAGAGACAGCTCAGGTTGGCTGCTTTGGGGACAAGGTCAGAGAGGCCAGATTGAGATGGTTTGGACATGTGCAGAGGAGGGATAGTGGTTATACTGGTAGAAGGATGTTGGAGATGGAGCTGCCAGGCAAGAGGTCAAGAGGAAGGCCAAAGAGGAGATATATGGATGTGCTAAAAGAGGACGTGAAGTTAACTGGGGCGAGAGTAGAGGATGCTGAGGATAGAGTTAGGTGGAAACAGATGATTCGCTGTGGCGACCCCTAACGGGAACAGTCAGAAGAAGAAGAAGAAGAAGAAGCTCTTCTGCACTTGACTGCTGTAATGCATGTAGCTGAACCTGCAGATGCATGGTGATTCTCCTGACCATGAGCAACTTAGTTCTTACTCCAGATGAAAGCAGAAGATGTATCGTCTAATTGGTTTGTTGTCATGTTGGGCTTGGTGGGTTGGATGCCAGTGCTTTCCTCCTCTGTAATTCTCCAGGCCAGTGTTTTAAATCCAGTTATGCTCGGACACAGAAGGAGAGCACATCCTAGGTGTGTACTTCCTCCCTTAATAAGCAAGTCAGGTTTGGCTGTTCCAACGAGTGCTGGAGTTTTCTGTTCTAGTATAATAGATGACTTTAAACAAGCTGCCTCCCTGGAAACTGAGCATTTGGAACAAAACGGTGTCCAGGCAATTGGTCCAACCAGTAGGTCAAAGGTTGATTTGCAGTCAACATGTTTTTAGAGGGAAGAGAAACATATTTTGGGAGCACAGACTGACTGCTGTTAGGGGTACGGATGACACTAAGTATAGATCTTAGTGATTTACTGAAAGCCATTAAGAGAATTAGAGACAACTGGTCATCAGAAAAGTAATCTGCAGCTATTTTGATGTAGAGTTCATCAAGTTACAGTAGTGAAACAATGGAAAAACATTATATGATTCCAGTCTTTTACATAGGAGCATTTGCTGCTTTTCTTTGTCATGAAAACTAAATGTTGTTTGGACTTTTGATCAAACCAAACTAGACATATGAAGGCATCCTACTTGGACTCTGCAAAGTAGTGATGTTTTCAATTCTAAACTATCTTTGATATTTCATAGACTATTTTATGTTCTGTCAGCCAGTGTCCATTACAACAGGAGGCAGCCCCAGCTGGTAGTTTGTTGTCTCCTTCTCGATACATGGATGTACATTTAGCTTGAACTTATTTAGCAAATTACAGAATGAGGATAAAACGAGGACAACAAAACCCATTAGGAAAAGCCACATAAAGGTGGGATTTGTACTTTATTAGAAGTAGTGGTCTACTTTTACAAGAGATAAGACTGTCAATGATGTGGCTGGTTTAGCCTTATGTTATGTGAGGCCGCTTTGTTTACCCATCTTTGTTAAAGTGCAACGCATGGCTGTTTACCGACTGTTTCTGTGACATGCATCCATCTGAACAGGACTAGGAAGCGGTTAAATGACTGGAGAAGCTTAAACTTGTTGGTAAACTCGGCTATAACCATGTCTCAGAAGAAAAAATAGCCTATAAGAGCATTGCTTCAGCAGAAATATGTGTGCCACCTGTCTCATTGTTTTCACAAATCTTTATGGTGGCCCGACGTTGTATATCAGTTTAAATAGGTCACAATCTATGTCTTGCATCATGTGCAGCTGTTTATTGAATATTAAAGCCCGTATGCCTATGGTGAATGGCATGTGGGTGTTTTCAGCTGGAGGGCTTTGCCTTGCCAAGCCCCTGCTCCCTCCCTCTGTGAGTGGGTTAACTGGCAGGGATGCTGGGATCAGACTGGGCAAGGGAGCATGTAGGAGGGAGAGAGAGAGAGTCGGACGATGTTCACAGCTCACGACCAACCCTTAGTAACATGGGTGGTTGCCATGACGACGCAGGCAGCAGCTGAGTTAGTAATGCAGGGTTATTTTTTTCTGCAGCCACGAGTGCAGTGGTTTACTCTTGTCGTCAGAATATTTTAATTTGTTGTGGTGTAGTCCTCCGTATACATTGTAAATGATGAGTGTACTATTTTATAATGGTGACACTAATTAATGTGGCTTTTAATTCTTATTTCAGTAGGAGTGTGAGGTAGAGGTCAAGCAATTAGTTAATTGACACACCACAGTAACATACTGTGCACATGGATTAAATTTAAGACTTTAAATTCCACAGTGAATGCAATTAAATACCAGATGCACAGTCGTATCAATAAAGTATAACTGCAAACCAGTAGAGTGAGGTTTAAAGTGCCTTGAGACGACTTTTATTGTCATTTGGTGCTGTGCAGTTGAACTGAAATATATCACATTATTTCAGTGCTTCCCATTAATATTTAACAGTAATTCTTAATTCTTAATATTTGATTAAGTAAATGCAACCTGGACCTGCGTAAGTCACTGAAAGTGAAAGGATGGATTAACTGAGGACAGAATTAGTGCATTAACTGATTAGTCTTTCAACGAAAAAGTAATCGGGAGCTCTGTTGACAGTCTGTTAATCCCTCACTCATTTTTCAAGCAAAAATGCCAAATATGTTCAGATTTTAGTCTCTCAAGAATGAATCCAGGTTGGTCTCAGGATAAATGTGTCCCCTGAGTGACTGACTGGCCACAGTGATACAGAACACACTGTGTGTAGTTCGCTGCTAATCTGAAACATTGTCTTTTCAGTCCTGGACGATGTGTGTCTGTGTCTGCTGGCTATATGTAGACAGCTGCTGTTACGATAACACTAGTGGTCACATTCCTCTGTCAGAGTGCTCGTCACTGAGGCGTGAATGCCACAGTACATTTCATTGTGCAAAGGGATTATGTGCTAACAATTTCCACATGGTCTCAAAGCAACACATAGCGCCAGGGCAGATTTTGATCTACACCGTCATACTAATTATACTCTGAAATATAAAATGCTCTGCTAAAATTTGATCAGGGCATCAATTTCAGTCCTGTTTTTACAGCAACAGTACAGAATCACTTCCTGGACATGTCCTAAAAGATGATAGGTAAAAGTTTTCAGGTCAGGGGAAGTAAATTATCTTTATGATGAGCAGTGACACACAGAACCTCCACAGCAAAGACAAATGTGCTGTGTGTTTCCATCTCATGTCTCTTTTCTCAGTGTAATGTACTACATGAACATACAACATAACATAGCATATAAATATATATAGTACAG